GCTGCTGGGTAAGGCACGGGTCTCCGACCCTACACCCGCCTCCCAGAAGAGTCCTGGATGTCCAGCCTTTGAGGCACCTGCTGTGGCTGCTGCTTGGAGGTGGGGACCCAGGCCTTCCTGCCAACCTGGGTTTAGCGAGTGTGCCAAAGTCTCTCAGCCGAAGTAAGGGCAGGAGGGCGGAAGACCTAGCTCTTCTTCCTGGGTCTAACTAAGCAAGCACCGAATTTAGCCTCCCTCCTGTGGGCCTTACACCTAGCCTGCCCTGGGGCACTGGAGCTCCTTGGGTCTTGGAAACCTTTCCCCAGTCCCCCCCACCAGGTACCCTCTACCTACCACAGGTACAGGCTCCTCCCAATAGAACTCCCACCTCCTCACTCTTCCCCTATCTCTGCTTCCTTGCCACCCCTAGCTATAGGCTACCCCCACCACCCCATTCACCTCCTGCTGACACCCACTTCCCCACCCCATCCCTTCATCTACACTCTGGCTTCACCTCTACTCAGCAATGTCTCTCCACCCACACACTCCCTTCCCACCTGTTCTCCCCATCCCACACCCACTATCCCCCCCTACCTGCCCTGCCCTTCCATACTCAATCCCCCATACAGCACGCTTCCCCTCTCAGCTTCTGCCCTGTCCCTTTCCATCCCCTTCCCACAAGTATAGGCAAAAGCACTCCTTTAGCCAGGAGGGTGCTTGGGATAAGAAACCAGAAGTTGTTACCTATCCCCCTACAGCTTGACTCCTGGTGAGTGTTTCGCTGTAGTTAGAGGTTCTTTGTTTTGTCCCCTAAAGTCACAGACATCCCCCCTCCCGCCCCTGCCAATTCCAAGCCTACCCTCCAGCGAGTAGCCAGAGAGCAGGAATCTTCCACACCTGCCTAAAGATATCCACCAGCCCTCAGAGGACAGGCATCTGGCTGGATGGTTGGGCTTTGGCTGGCTCCCAGCCCCCGGGTTCATTCACTAGGGGCTGGGCCCGTGGACACCCGGAGCTGGCATTCTCTTCCTCACCCCTTCCCAGCAATACACCCAGATTACTTATCTGAAGCCTTCTGAGGATACCAGCAAAACACCTTCCTTGGAATGTGTAATTAGGCTCTCATGGCCATCTCCCGTTCTAAAACTGTCAGCCTTCTTGATCTGGTCCCTGCTGGTTCAGCCCAAGCCATTCCTCTGGCTTGTTTCCCTCACACTGCTGCAGTCACAGCCAGGGATGGCACCTTCCCACCTAGCTTGTTCCTTCTCGCAGCTGTCTTTGGCCAGGCTCTTAATTACTTTGGGGTGTGCCTGTGGTCATTGGTTTGAACATGCTTTCATGATGGGTTGCATTTTACTACATGTAGATTTGGGGCAGTTGTTTATTCTGACATGTAAAAACATAATGATAAATGATATAATCTTTTTTTTTAGTTTTACCTAGGAATGTTGACCTTTTCCTTCTTGCTGTTCCCTCCTTGAATAGAATGTTTTGTCCTGTAGGTTCATGGGTCTGATGCGCAGCTTCTATAAGAAAGGTTTCCATCTATAAAGCAGGTAAGGTAAAAGGACCAAAAAGAAAGAAAGAAAGAAAAATTTAGATTGGTAAATGCCTCCTGTCTGCCAAGGGGCCTGATAGACAGTTCTAGGTCCAAGAGCTGTCACAGGGCCCAGCTTCCAAACACCCACCAATTCTCATTTATTTTTTGTGGCCTAAAATGTGGGGAGGTGAGCATCTAAAATGCTCCAAGTAGCCGCGAAGCATGAACTAAAATGTGCATACATCATGTTAGCTTCATCATGATTGATACATGGAATGACAATCACATTAGCTTCACCAAAATATTGGGGATAGGGGGTGTCTGTATAGAAGTACCTGTCAGCTCAAGTGTGTAGAGCACACATTTGTAGACAAAATAGGTTCCATTTACTGAGCAGCAATCGTGTGCTGAATAATTTTACTAACGTAAAAGTCAGCAACTCGATTAAAAAAAAAAACTCCCTGAGTTGGATATTACCCCCACTTAGCAGATAAAAAGAACTGAGGCTCGGATAGATTAAATAATACACCCAAGGTCACCGAGTCAGTACCTGGCTGAGCAGTAATTGGAAAAACAGTATGACCCCTAGATTCTCAGCCTTTCGCTGACTGCCCAGCGGGGGTGGGCCCAGAAATCCTTATTTTTTAAAAAGTTCCCTTGGTGATTCTTGAGGATGAGCCACGTCTCGGGAACCCTGGTTCACATCAAACCATCCAGCTATCCCTGTCACCAGCCTGCCTCCCAGCAGCCTCCTCCACGTTGGGTAACATATTTAAATAGCAATTTCGAAAAACTATGCAGCATATGGATTTTCCTTTTGATCTCAAAATGATGACAAACAGACACTTAAATACTTCATAAAAGAAATATTACCAGAAAAATTATAGAAACCTGGCTTTCAACTTTGTCTTGCTCTAATTTAAACAAAATGCAACTTCTCAGTGTCACCCCCCCCCCATAAATCCAAACTGGGAGCCCCCTTCTCTACCCCCTCTGTGCCCAGCCTGCGCCTATTTATGTATTTCTAACCGGCTGGTCGTCCTGAATAAAAGCCTGGAAATACGGACAGCAGGGCTCACCCAAGTCCTATCCCCAAAGCCCCTCCTAGGAATCCACACCCTTGACTTGAAAGATCCAAGAAAGGGAAGCTGGGAATAACGGCCAAACATTCGTAGACTAATTGGCAGAAGAAAAGGCGTGGGCGTGGGGTGATGCCCATCCCTTAAAAGGACCCCGCCCCTGTCTTAGGTCCCCCGAGAGCCCCCCTCGAAGGTGGAACGCACCAGCCGGCTGTGGGCGCCAGCG